TACCTGGTCTTCCTCCCCGCCCCCCTGCTCATCATAGTTGAGGATGTTGTCCCGGAGGTCATCCTGCAGCCCCGGTAGCAGCCCCTTGTCCCATGGCTGCTGTCGGAACCGTGAGAGGAGGGCCACCGGCAGGGCGAGCACTGGGCAGGCAGACAAGGTGAGGTTGGCTCCCAGGAGAAGGAGGCGTGGGGCGTGGGGGGGAGCGTGGGGGGACTGAGGGCAGTGGTCTCAGGGCATGGGCACTCACAGAGCAGCAGGATGACACTGGCCAGCACGATGCCCAGGGCGCCCAGGCTGAGGCCTGTGCCCTTTGCCCTCAGCGCAGCGGCCCCCTGCAGGCAGACGCCATCCTGGCCACAGTGGCACACGGTCACATTAAGGAGCTGCTCGCGATGCTGAGGTGGCTGCCCTGAGTCCTGGAGCAGCAGGCTGAGGCGGTGCAGCCCCTCCTGGACCTGGTGCCGCAGCCGCAGGCGCGCATGGCTCACTGTGGAGGGCACCTAGGTCAGCAGGGCCCCCCGTGCCCCGTGGGGACCATGAGACGCTGGGCCTGTTTCCCATCTGCCCACTGAGTGTGATAACTAATCCCTGCCCCACCTGAGGGACCACTGAGGTGGGACCAGCAGGACCACGTCTTGAGTGACCCCCAGGTCACAGGTCTGGACACCCTCCCCCGGGCGGGGGGCAAAGCTCACTGTTAATCTGGCTGAGGCTCCAGTTCCGGGCCAGCTCTGGGACCCTGGGGCTCAGCTGGAAGTGGAAGGGGGCTCCGTGGGGGGGCAGGTCCTCGTCCGTGGCACCCAGGAGAAGGCCAGAGCCCTGGCCTGGCTCACTGCACAGGCTTCCAGATGAGGGGGACAGCTCGGGGGCGTGGTCATTGACTTCCAGGATCTCAATGGACAGGGTTCCAGTGGCCGTGCAGGGCGGGGAAGCTGCAGACGGAAGAGGCCTGTGGGCTCCTTGCCCTGCCAGAGCCACTGCCCACCTATCGTCGGCTCAGTTGAGGGCCTGGCTCCCAGCCCTTGGGCCAGCAGCAGGGACTCCCAGCCTAGGTCAGAGAGCCATGGAGCCCAGGCCTGGACTCAGTGCTCACCATCGTCGTAGGCCAGGATGATGGCCCTGTACCAGCCGTCCTTGAGGAAGGGGGACGCCGGGCTGAGCACACTCTGGGTCTGGACCCAGCCTGTGGCTCCATCCACTTGCAGCCAGTCCTCAGGGTCATAATCCTTGGAGTAGCTGTCAGCCAAGGAGGGAAAACGGGAACAGGGTGGCCCTGAGCTACATGGGACCCCCTCAAGGTGTGGTTACATACAGACACACATACGTCCTCCACACTGCGTGCGCGCGCACACACACACACACACACACACACACACACACACCCTAGCCTTCGAGGCCCTAAGCTGGTGTTTTTCTATCCCAATTCACAACTGAGGCTCAGGAAGGCAGGTGCGCTGACCAGGGCCCTGTGGCGACTGAGTGACGCAGCATCACATGGATAGGATTCAACCGTGGACACCGTGGAGACAGACACAGATACACAGGGCCAGGGTTGGGGTGAAGTCCAAGGGCCAGTCCCATGGGAGCACTGCTCGCCAGAATGAACAGGGCTAGACACCGTCTATTCTAAGGCTGGTCAGAATAGACGGTGGCCGTGTCAGTATAGTCCTGCCCTATAGAACAGGGTCACACCAATATGTGCACACATGGGACTTAAGACCTCCTGGACTATTGGGAACCCTCGGGGCACAGGGCTGGGGTACCCTCAGCCGTGCTTCTGGCCCTGGCAGGGAAACGGGGGAATGGGCTATGAGCTCCCTCTGCTTCACCCCGAGGGTCCCCGGGGAGGCACCTGAGCCTCTGCAGCTGCTGTGTGTCGGGGTCTCGGGCAGAGAAGGTGGCCACAGGGGTTCCTGGGGCCGCCCCCTCCGCCAGGCTGGTCCTCAGTGGATTCTCCTGGAACACGGGCGCCTCGTTGACATCCCGCACCTGCACGCTGACTCTGGCCTGATCCCGCTCAGCCCGGGGGGCAGCCGCCTGCAGGGGGACCTCGTTCTGCACCTCCACTCTGAGGTCGTACTGGTCACAACTCTCATAGTCCAGGGGCTGTGGGGAGGAAGCAGAGCTGACAGCCTGCTCAGGACTCCGGGCCCCTCACGGTCGGGCACCCGGAGGCAGGTGTGGCCGGGATAATGCCTCCCGTGGTGCTGCTGCCCCAGATCTGTCCTCAGAGCCCCCGCTCTCCTTCTCCTTTTCAGCTTTGGAAAAAGGAAACGTATGCAGGACAAAAGAAGGCACAGAAATAATGTAAAAATGATCAAATAAGTACTCGTCACTCAAAATGAATTTTTTGGGTGTTGTGTGATCAGTTCTGTGTTATTTGGCTGGGCGGTCCTCCCAGCGACGCATCTGGGTATAGACGGGAGATATCTGGTTAAAGTAACATCTACGATCATTTGGCTTAAGAAGATTGTCCTGAACCATCTGGATATCCTGAACCTCACACACTGTTGAAAGTCTTTAAGAGCGAAACAGGTTTCTGAGGAAGAAGAATTCCGCCTCAGGACTGCAGCCCAGCTCTGAGCTGCCAGCTTACCCTGCCAACTTCAGACTTGCCCAGCCAGCCCCACAATGGCAGGAGCCAATTTCTTGCAATAAATCTCTTCAGATATCAATATCTAAATATATCTATATCTTTACGTGTGTGAATATACACACACGTGTTTCCTGCTGTTTCTCAGGTTCACGGGTACAGTCTGTATTCACACACGATTCTTATACAGCGTGGCAGCACACTGTAAACAACGCACAGGCCCTGTGGTCAGTGCGACCTGAGCCTGCACTCCCAGCATTTCCCATCCTTTTGGCTCCCTCCC